TCTGATTTATGACAGCGTACTTTGTTGGAGCAGCCTCTTGCTTTGTTTCGGGTGGCATCCAACAACCGCCTATTCTGTACTGGTCCAATGCATATTGTGCACCATTCCCCTTCATGGTGGAGAAATCTAAACGGGCTTACTCCCCGAATGTTTCGCTTCGCGGGATACCGCACAGCCACTACCCGCTTCCAGAGAGTTCCCGGACGGGCGGTGGGTCAACAATACCTTGGGAATAAAGGACGCCTGGATAGAGCAGTACTACAACTCTATCGTCAACAACCGGTTGGAGGTGGAGGCAGACAAGGACCTTCAAAAGCAAGGTTGGGCATAGCGCGCTGGCCCAAGAGAGGTCAAACATATAACTAACAGCAGTCGAACTTTCGAATGTAGACTTTATACAGTACGGCGTACAGTATCATGTGTGCCGTGTTGTTGTAGCCTGCCTATGGCCACAGAAGTCACCCGCGCACACGAACAGCCCCTACATGGATCAGTGTGAGCCGCTCTTCTTACTCTTGCGTCGAACACGGGTGGCGAAGGCACGCTGTATCTCGTGCACAACTTCCCTAGGGTCAGGTTGTACGCCGACGTATGCAGCCAGCCCCGCATCACGGATTGCGATGTTGGTCCAATCAATAGTAGGGCGGACTGACAGCGTAGACTATATGTTGTCCAAGGTCGATCCCCAACGTCCCAACCTGACCCCGGGGAGGTTGGGCACCAGTTACAACCTCCCTTTGGCCACCGGTGAATGCTCTTTCTCATCGAAGCTAATTCAACACCTGGACTGTTCCTTTCGGGGATGATCCCATGCATCAGTGAGCGTCTTCTGTAGCTGATCTCCGATCCATCGCCCAGTTCCTCTCGGCTGCAGTCGACTGGTCGACATGATTGCTTGCTGCCGCATGTACGTTGTGAACGCGCCGAAACGATTTGGTGACGGTCCCACGATGTATAATTTGGGCGATATTATCCTCTGGCCTCCTTACGAGAACGTCAACGCGGGTGGTATCATAGTAGCATTGTGCGAACTACTTTTGAGACATGCGCGGAGTTGATGACACCTGGTTGTGGCTATCCATGTTGACCCCTTGCCCACGGCTTGTTTGCCAGACTTCGGCGAGTGAGCGCGTAAATTACGTCTTGCTATTTTTCGACTTTCCCCCCCCTTTTGCGTCCCGCAGGTATCGACGAGTACGGTAACCCAGGTTCTCCGGTCCCACGATTCACGGACAACAGGGACTGCCAATCGGCCTTCAAGGCCTACATGTGCTACATTAATTTCCCGAGGTTAGATGCGTAGAAAGACCAACTACAACTCTCTGACAGAGTGGGTCTCTTTGGACACAGAACTCTTAAACCCGAAGGATGCTGGGTTGCGCGGTGGTGGAGTACTTTGATATGGGGCGTCCCCGCCAGCTATGTAGATCCTCGGGACTCTCGGTCCTACGGATAGCACCTCCCAAATAAAGACAGCATATTTACACTGGATCAATAACGCGTAGCACATTCACAGCCGATACCTTCACAGGGGGAACTCGCTGGTGGTTCACGAACGACGTGGGATGCTCTCACGAACTGAGCTTGGTCCACGGCCTACATGTACGCCGCGATCAAGAGAAGTCAAACGGGCAATGTGAACCAACTTCGTTCTTTCTCCTTCTGAAATACACATATTGTCTGCCACGTGGATTTACCTACACGATCCAGCTGGCACATAGCTCAGACACGGTTTGAGGTGAATGCCAAACTCAAATGACGCGACGACGGCCGATGGAACCAGTTGGATGGCTTGCAGGAGCACGCACCTTCCTTGTTGGCATTAGGCTGCCAACTTTCGTAATGATATGTGGTTAACGAGCAAGCACCATCAAGTACCTACTATGGAATACTGTACACGTCACTCGCTACGACAGCAGTGAACGACATTTGAGCTGTTCTACAAGAGCGTGCAGCACGCTACTACTGTACCGATGACACAACGGCCATACTTCTGCGCCTTCAGGAGGCCACGACAGCCTTCCAAACCCTAACGCTGCGAACGGCAATTTTGTAGGTGCGATGACGACGAAAACAGCCTTGTGACTTGCCGAAGCGCGTGCGAGAATCTGATGGTAGCCTGTCAGAACCAGAGGGATATGTGGCGGTGCGGGGAAAGCCAGTACTTCAACGGCTACGAAGCGGAAGAGCCGGAGACCGATTCCGACGGCAACCCCGTCTACCTGAGAGATTTCTTCCCAGGCAAGATGTAATAAGCACCATGTAGAGCTTCTGCGAAGGCATCATGTCTTTGATTACCAATGTACTGTAGTCAGAGTACACTCGTATTTATTTGCTGACCATTAGAATCAAATGCAGACAGACCGAAAGAGAAAACCTATTACATGGTCACTCCGTCACCTACAATACCCCCAAGGGTTATACTCCATGAAGTGCCACAGAGGCCGGGTTGTTGCGTGTCCTTTCCGGTTCACTTCATAGACTCTAGACATTGTGCACGTTCCAAATACTGCTGGCACGTCTGCCACACACATCGTGAAATTAAGCACGAGGATCCGTCCGAAGATGAGCAAACTGGGCCGATTGGTTCGTGTGCTCTCCGATGGAGACAACGCGTTTCGTGGGGACCACCAACCGCATGGCTTATTTGCGGCGACCACTATTAGCATCTTATCCCAAAAGAGCTTTACTATCATACGCATTTCGTGGCTGCTACACGTAGTGACTGTGTATGATCCAACGTCGAATGAACTTGCATATTCAGGGCAGCCATTTCGAGACGTGGAGTGGGCCGGCGGTCGGCAACCCGAGATCGTTTGCACCCCGAGCATCAAGGGGGCCGCCGCCCCGTCGCTGCAACCGTGGGGGCGCCGCCGCCGCCGCTACAACGACGATAAGACGGCGGCGAGAACGGGGTTCGGGGTAGTCCCCGTTGTTGCGGCCGTTACGGGTTTGCTGCTGGCGTTGTGTTGGGAAAATGTCGTTCTTTGATCTCGTTGGGGGTCATCATTGGCGAAGAACTGACGCGAAGGCTATTGTGTACTACCATACGGTTGGTTGGAGAAGGGAAAGTGGTTGAGGCCGGTGGCAGAGATAGTTGTGTGTTCCCTTGTGGGTTGGTCACTGGCCACGTGTATATTTCAATGTTTTCCGCCCGTTTCGTTGAGTGATCACGAGTCGCTTGGTGGATGGTTCCTTTCGCTGCAGACATGTGACGGGAGGAAACGGTGGCTCGTGCTCGACCGCGTGTTGGCGTTGTTTTTGTAAGAGCTAGGCGTTTACTCGAGAGGCATCTTGAAGCTACGCGATGAGCTGCGGGGTATGCCCCCGGGGAGTAAGTAAGCTATCCATCTTGGCGGTTAGCTGAGGCAGATCCACCCTCTTTCTTGGAAGCGCCAGCTCGGACACCGGAGAGAACACGTGTGAAGCTCCTGCAGCAACAGGCTTGCTTCTACCGGTACGTGGTTTGGACAAATCTCCAAATCATGTAAAATTCGTTACCGGTATGCATAGAACGAATGACATCTCCGATATATCCGGTCAGCCACATTGTAGTCGCTGGATTCGTGGTACATTCATGCGGTGTACACACGTGTTCGCGCCTATGGAAAAAATTCCATATGTTTTTTTTTATGCAGACATTACAAATCCTGGAATCACATCGGGAAGCAGTCTCTCCGCGCAGTGTTTTTGGTTATTCTGCCACAACTCGCGCTGTAGTGCTGATCCCAATTAGTGCACGTCATCTATGGATTGCCCACATGTAAAGACACACACACACCAATTTTCGTGAGATTTGGTCCACCCTACGTGGGTAACCAAAAGGCATCTAGGTGCGGTGCGTGCTTCCATGGCTTGGATTACCCTATATTTTTGGAGGTAGGTTCATGATCGTTCTGGGGGCCTCTCTGCTGACTACTGGAGTTTAGACTTGAATTTAGGCCGACTTTTGCAGGCCCACTGCCATCGCTGTGGTGCAGATCCCAATTAGTGCACATCATACATTCATTTTATGGTCTTTTATCTCTGCTATGGTGCGGAGTTTTGGCCGAATTGGGACTCTGAAGCGGGTAACCAACTTGGATGAAAGTTGCTTCTCAGAGCTGAAAAGGTTGCGTGCAGCAGCAGGAAGGCAGCTTCAACTCAGATGTGATCGCGAGACATTTCTCCGGCTCAAAGCAAAATCAAAGGGTAAAACCAGCTTTCCGATGGAGGGTATGACTTGCTTGAAGCGCCCGCCTGTTTTTGTGAAACGACAAGGTCTGTGTAAGGAGCACGAGGTGGTGAAAGAACTGGGCTCAGCCATGTCCAATATGGGGAGGGGATGAAACAAAATTAACCCCGCTGAAACCGGCGGCGTGATTTCTTGTCTGTACTTTTTTTTCAATTCCTATAGGCGCGAACACGTGTGTGTATGCATGTACCATTCTGGTATTTTCATCCCCAAGAAGATGAAAAAAAAACAAAAAAATCCTCTGTGAATCTTTCCGGCGTAAATATGCCTGGTACCACAATATACTACGTGTCACCGAAACGGGCCCTCTAAATATTAAATATCGATGCGCCGGTTGCCTCTCCCACGCCCAAAACTCCCTTGAGACTTCACGAAAACCAACCAGCGAGCCACACGTCGAAAAGGTTCATACACGGTTGCCTCCACATCGATCGGCTGCATGGCTCATGGATTATTCCAAGAATGACCGAGTTTGAAAAATCACTCCGACCATGGCTCACCCGATGACAGCGACTAAAACAACACCGGGAAGAACTCACAAGAGTTAGACAAGATCAGACAAGGCATTTCGGTCAAAGCCGTGACGGATGCGCTGCAGAAGCGCTTCGCCCGAGAGAGGACACTGTCCACGAACCACGTCGCCACCTACTCGCTCGCACGCTTCCTGCCGCCGTTGACGTGGTAATGCTGTCTCCCAATACAGATATTGTCAAGAGCAACGAACCAAAATTTCCCAGAGGCTAGAGAAATTTTGCTGGAAAGGGTGGGGGCCACACCGCGGTCGTTCTCGGGCAGCAGGCGTTTCAGGGGATAGGGGATGCAACCGGTCTCGGAGAGCAAGGAGTCCCATACAAAGCGGGACACACAAACTATTGTGGGGACAATACTAACAAAAGCTGGACAAACTAACGCGGTATCGGTGACAACACGTCGGGAGGTGTGAGGATCGTTGGGGGTCGATGCCAAGAGAAGAGCAGCCACGCTCCCGCTACCGCCCCCCCCCCCCCCCCCAAAAGGCCCAAAAAGAAGGGGAAAAAAAGGGCCAAAAATTTTTTTGGGGTTTGTGGGAAAAACCTAAAAAACTCCCCAATGTTTGTGGGGTCTCTTATAAGGGTAAGAACCGTGCTCCCTCTCCAAAAGGAACCCTGGGCTATGGGGAAAAGAATAAAGGGAC